ATATACACCATCCCCAGGGCAATGCCTGGCTGCGATTGGCTCCGCAGAGACACGAGGACCCCCTCCCACTGGCTTCATGGTGAGCGGGAATTCCCAGACTCAGTCAGTGCCAGTGTCCCCTTCTCAACCTGGCACCAATCCCAGAGCACAGGAGAGAGAGCCTGGCTGAGAGAAGTCAGCTGGTGGGCCTGGTGCAGAGCAGGCCGTGGGTCCAGGAGAGGTGTAAAGGTTGAGAGAGAGCCTGGCCTTGAGAGGCCTCTCCCCACCTCTGCCTCTATCCTGCCCCCTCTAGTCTAACACTGGCCTCCCTCAAGGTCTTAGCTCCTCTCAGCTGAGATGGCAGCTGGGGGGGAGGAGGCATTTGATGTGCTTGTGGTCTTCCTTGGATTGTAAGCAACCCCCTTTCCAACATAAAGCTTTCATCATGGGTCTCCCCTGGTGCCTGCCCAGAGGAAACCCCACCTCCCATGGTGAGGACCAGGAGGAATGGGAAAGGTTACCATGGCAATGGAACAGAGTCCAGAGCCCTTAAAGACAAGTACAGCCTCTGGTCCTGAGTCTGGGGTCTGGAGTCTTGAAGGAGTGAGGGCTTGAGGAGAGGTGGGAAGGTGACGCTGGAGGTGGGACACTGGGAATAGGAGCAGAGACTTTTTGAAGACCCTTGGGAGCAGAGGACAGGAAGGGGAGAGAGGTCCGGCTGCAGTTTATTAAGTGGCCACCAGAGGTCAACACAGGCCTGGCACACCGGTCCCCAGGGCCAAGTTCTGGGTCCCAGAACCAGACCTCCCTCAAGTCAGTCTCTTGGAGGCCTAGGGCCTGAACCATCCTTTGAGCCCTGCCCTGACCTCCAAGGCCCCCTCCTCCCACCACTCAGGCCCCAGATTCCTGTGTCATCCCATGGCTCATGACCCAAGCCTGTCCAGTTCTGCCTCAGCTGCCTCAGCCCCAGGGCCAGCCCTCCAGCCAGGACGGTGCTGTAGGATCACCATCCTGACCTCCTGCCCCCAGCTTCCCCCCTCTCTTAGAGTAGGTGACCCCAACATGCTGCATCCTGTGCCCTTGTGCTCAACTGTCAAGCCCTCTCTCCTGGTTGTCAGTTCCAACTTGCTTTCCTGGAGGGGGGGTTGGGGGAGATTAACACTCATTTCAAGGTGACCCTTGAATGAGGCCCTGCAGCCAGGAAGAGAACACAAGGGAGCTGGGAATTTTCCATTTCCCATCCAAGCTCTGGGTGCAGAAGGCACTGACAGGTGGGTAACCAAGGGGGTGACCAGGCCTGAGAGAGCAGCCCAGGGTGGGGTGGGGGAAGGACACCCTGAACTCCTAGAATTGGAGGGGAGAGGACAAGTTTAAGAGTAGAGGGCAGGCCGGCCAGCTGGAGAGTCAAAGCGGCTTTCAAGCTATTTCAATCTGAGACACCTGGGTGGAGACTGGGCCACCACAGTCTTCCTCCCTCCCCTTCCCCACAAACACAGACACACAGAGACCAAAGAGGGGCAGATTCATCGGAATAGGAACCCTGGCCTTCCTTGGCGGACACTCGGGTAAAGATGCCAAGTAAGTTGTTAGTTCTTGCCAGAAATAAAGGAATACTACAATAATAAACATTTGTTGGCTGATAGATGACTATCTCCTGTTTGTCTAGTGCTGGAGAGTTTTTGACAGCACTTTCCACTGTCACATCCTAACATTAACACTTCAAGGGACCAAGACTCTGGCTGGCAACCCAAGCCCTCCCTTCGAGAACCCTGAGTGAGGGGCGGCAGGCATTGTGCTGAAATTCTTGGGCAAGCTCGGGAGCCGGAAGCTTGGGGTTGGCTGGGTGAGATCAACTTTCGCCAGAAGCCCAAAAGGTGACTTGGTGTGAATTAGAACAATATATCTCCTTCTTCAAGCCACTTATTGCCATCTTCCAGGAAACTGTCATGACTTCAAATGTCGACAGTGACTTCAAATGTGTGTGGCGCCCCCTGGAGTTGTGCAGGGCACAATGCGCACAACTGGGGCCTCTGGGTCTGCAGGACTCTTGGGTCCTGGGGCAAGGACAGCCTTAGAGTCGGTCTTCCTTTTTGAAGGTCAAATGAAATAGCCTCAAAATGAGGAGCAGATGAAGAAGCAAGACATCTGGGAGAGGTGAAGGTTCTGATCCCAGGGCCAAGGGCCAGCCCTGCTCCCTCGCTGAGTTCTGAGGAGCCCCCAGGAGCTGGGCCTGGGGCCAACCAAGTGGCATCCGGCTGCACTGTCTACACTCCCTCCCGGATCTGTGGTGTTTTTGGGGTGGGGCCAGGCCAGGAGTGGGGAGGATGGCTCCTTGCCCAGCTTGAGAGAGCTGTCCCTGCCTCTGTCCTGGAGAGAAAGGGCATCCTAGAGATGGCTGCTCTTGGGACACAGGCATCCAGTAGGAAAGGGGAGAGAATGCGGTTCTGGTGTCAGACCCAGGCTCGGTGACCTTGGGCAAGTTGCTAAAACCTTCCTCCTCCGAGTCTCAGTTTCTTCAAGTGGGTATCATGGAGTTGCTTTTAGGATTGGGTGACATAAAATGTAGCATCTGACCCAAAGGAGACACTGGTTATAAAAGTACTTTTTCTTTCCCGAGTTCCTGGAATTCAGTCCTTATCATGCTTGGATTCCAGATACTGGCCATCCACTCATCCATCCACCCACCCAACCCATCCACCTATCCAATTATTCAAGTACCTTCCAACTTTAAGGCCCTGTTGAGGTTTCCAAGGTTATTGCAACTCAGGGGCACTTGAGCAGTCTGACTTCTCCAGGCACCCTCTGTTCTCCCAGCCCCAGACTCTGGAATTGACCAGGCATTCTCCACTCCCCATCTGGGATCCATGCACTTAACATCCCAATCCATTTTCCCTCTCAAAAGGGAGGTCCCATGCCACTCGAACTCTGTTCTCCTGCCAGCTTCCAGCACACCAGAGAGGTGAGGTGGGGGCTATATGCCTCTTTCCAGGGGGCCAAGGGGTGGCCCAACCCAAACCCGCTGGCCCAGCAGGGTGGGGCACCAGGGGCTGGGCTGGGCCAGAGCCCCAGAGGCTTGCAGGAGAGCAGGGTAAAGTGGAAGCTAGGAGCTGGACCGGTCAGACTGGGGTGTGTGGAGGGGATGGGACAGAGGGAGGGAGGGGACAAGCCAAGAGAATACAGCTGAGGAGGCTTCTGGAGGCAGAACTCTAAGGGAAAGCAGGAGGCTAGGCTCTGAAATCAACAGGGGTGGAGGAGGGACAGGCAGCCCTAATGCCAGGTTACTTCCCAAATGGGAGGAGGAGAGGGTGGGAAGAGCTGAGAATAGCAGCAATGGGGGCAGGTGACTCTCCAGGCCCTGGCTGACCTCACACCTCACACATTCCTGACAGCCCGAGCTCAGATGGGAGCCCAGACAGGGCCCCGCCCATACGGGCCCTGTCCCTCATTCCCCACAGCCTCCACCAGGCCCTCCCCCCCACCCCATCCACCAGATCCCAGCCACCACTTCTCTTTCCTCTTGGGCTCCCAGCTCTCCCCAAGGCCTCGGGCATTTTTCTCTGGTGAGACTCAGTCCCTGATGGTGGGGGTTGGTCTCACAGAGGGGAAGAAGGAAGAATGATGCCCCCAGCACCCACTCACTCATCGGTAAGCCCTTATTATTTCTTTCAAACAGGAAGTCCCTCCTCCAAAGCCTCAAACAGGAAGTCCCACTCCTCCCTCCAAAATAAAAGTTTCGACTCCCTAGCCCTTCTTCTGGGTTCCTATCAGTCTACGGCCAGAAGGGAGCAGCTTGGCTATCAGACTAGCAATTTTGTTCCTCCCTTTTCAGCTTGCTGGCATTCCTATGTTGAAACCTGGCCCTCAAAACAGGAAGTCTGCCCACCACGCCACAGAACTGACCGGACATTCTCCCTGAAGGGCAAACCCCGGCAGCTCAGCTCTCCGGTGCCTTCCCCGTGCCCCTCAGCCGTCCTCTCCATGGCTCTGGCTTGGCCAGGGGGAGGCTTGTGCGGGAGGGGCGGCTCAGCAGAGAAGAGAACCTTAGGGACATGCTTTCTTGGCACTGGAGGTCCTAGGACCCTAAAGTAGTCCACATGGACTATAAGATGTTACCAATAAAGACAGGAGTTCCGTTCCCCTCAGTAGGGAGAGAGAGATGGGGACTGGGAGGAGACTGACTCCCTATTCTCACATTTGCTAGTAAGTTCTTGGGGTTGGCCAGATGATCGCTAAATCTGCAAGAGCTCTGGAATTTGACAATGACTCCCTTCAAACTCTGAACAAGTACTACGATTAACAATCCTAAACCTAGAGTGCCACCCAGCTCTCTCCAGAGAGGGAGTGGGTCCCAAATCAACTTTGCCCAGTGTGTCATGCCCAGGCCAGGTTTCTGTTTAAGACGACCCCTCCAAGTTTAACGTGGGCGAAGGACACCTACCAGGCAGTTTCGCGTGGCTACCCGAGGTACGGGGTTCAGAGGCGGAGTCCACCTACCTATCATCGTCGCTGTCCAGGTGGCCACTGATGGCCAGCATGGATCGGGCCAGGCTGAGGCTCTGGGCTGCTGCTGCTCCAAAGGGGTCTGGAGACTTGTGGACCAGACTGGCATCAGGGAAGAAGTAGAGGGCCGGGGAGCTGGGGCGAGAGTCGTGGGGGGGTACCTGGAGGCAGAGAGGTAGGAACTATCACATTAAGCAAGAGAAAGAAACCAACCACTTTACAACTTGCCTAGTAGTCTTCCTCCCTATGCACCCCTCCTCCCCATGCTCTCTTCCAAGGACCCAGGGGTCCTGCCCTTGCAGCCCCCTTTTCCCCAGGTCTAGGGAAAGCATCAGGCAAGGACTAGAGGCAAGGGAACAGTGCCCATCCTGAGGACTAGGTAAGTAGCTTCTAAAAAGTGATTCACAAGGTATCAGAGAGGGGCTCGATCTACACACCAGCACCTGCCACCAGCTGAGCCAGGATCCCTAATCGGAGGCTAATCAGAGAGTGTCGGCCTTCTGTCACCTAACTTCTTTTTTTTTTTAAATATATTTTATTGATTTTTTACGGAAAGGAAGAGAGAGGGATAGAGAGTTAGAAACATCGATGAGAGAGAAACATCGATCGGCTGCCTCCTGCACACCCCCCACTGGGGATGTGCCCGCAACCAAGGCACATGCCCCTGGCCGGAACCGAACCCGGGACCCTTCCGTCTGCAGGCCGGCGCTCCATCCACTGAGCCAAACCGGCTAGGGCTCACCTAACTTCTTAAAGCAACTTAAATGTCACTTCCTCAGAGAGGCGTTTCCCCATCACTGAACTAGTAAATTCCACTGAACTGTCCCTTTTTTTTTTTTTTTAGTAACACCTAATACTACCTGATATTGAAGTATTTTTGCCTCTCTGTTGCTAAAAGGTAAGCTCCAGAGGGCACAGCTTAGTTTGTTCAACAGCTATTTGTAGAATGAATGAATCCTCAGAAACTGGTCCTCCACCCTCCCACCCCCACTATACCCATTCAAGCCTCTCTAAAACTTCTCAGGACTCAGGTGGAGCACTACTCTGGCTCTCTGGCCCTGGGTTAGGGGGTGAGGGAGCGGGTGGCAGAGATGGGGGAGGCGGAGCCTGGGCGTGGACAGCCCAACAGGCACTGGGGGAGGCTGCAAAAGGGCGGGGGCCACAGGAACAAGCCGCCTCTGTGAGGCCCCAGGAGGCCCCAGCTTCTCAGAAAAGCCAAGAACAGAGAGTTCAGGGTGGTTAGAGGGACAGAACCGAGGAAGGGGGCCCAGGTGATGTCCCCAGGCCTCCTTCTGGCTCCTGTTAGAGGCAACTGAGAGCGAAGAGGCACGGGGAGTGTTGAAGGAAGACGAACTTCGGGACAGGGAAGCAGCAGCACAGATGCATGCACACAGGAAGGGATCAAGACCTAAGAGAAGAAAAAGCGGTTGGGGGCCCTGAGAAGAGAGGGGCAGGGTCTGCGGGCCCAGGGAAAGCTCAGGCAGGGCTTAAGGACAGAGAGAGCAGAGGCTCGGGGCAGAGGGGCTTGATTTGGAAGTGTGTGGGGGATAGGGAAGGGACCAGTAAAGGACACAGCATCTTCTCCCCTGGGGTAGCAATTGAATGAAAGAGCTCAAGAAAAGTAGGGCTGGGGGGTGGCATGAGAGATGTAAACTTCAGGCCAGGAGGGAGTGGGGGGAGCCGGTCCTGACTGGTCCTGACAGGACCCAGACATCCAGTCTCAGGTTATTTTTATACTGTGGTTTGTGCCCAAGGCCAGGAAGGGGAAAAGTTCCCATCCTCACACTCCCTGCCTTTCCTCCTGCAGCCCAAGGTGTTATTTTCTCCTCCAGGACAGACACATCCAACCCCCAATCCCTGGCTGCCCACCCCTCACCCCGGAGATCCAGGCAGGCATCCTGCCCCCCAGCCCAGACTTGTTCCTCTTTTGGAGACAGGAAGCAGAAAGAGCAAAGGATTTAACTCCTTCTCTGCTGCTCCCTGCCTCTCCCCGACTCCACAGTGGCCAACCCCAGTTACGGATCCTGGAGGCCCAGACACAGGGAACTGAGACAGACAGCAAACCAGCAAGCCCCCCATCCCTGCAATGGGTCCCCAGCACCACCCAATTCCTCAATTTCTCAGGGAAATCTGGCTTGGGACAAAGCTAGAGAGGGGCTGGGACAGGTGGCTGGCTGGTGAGGAAACCCCCCCCCCCCCCCCACACACACACCTTGGGAATGGGGCCGCAAAGGAGAGACAGCAGAATGCCTACTTTTTGCCCCTCTCCCCCAACTCTGGCAGTTCCTCTCCCAGAGCCCAAACATGGGGCCTCCACCCTCAATGCCTAAAGGGTGAGACTAAGATAGAAGGTTAAGGCCACAGTGAGAAGGGCACATCTCTGTGATAGAGAGATGGTGAGGCTGGCTACATGGAGATGGAGACTTGGGCCAAAGACAAATGAAAGGCTAAAGAATGTAGAGAAGAAAGAGCCCGACTGGTGTGGCTCAGAGGTTGAGCATCAACTATGAACCAGGAGGTCACAGTTCGATTCCTGGTCAGGGCACATCCCCAAGTTGTGGGCTCGATCCCCAGTGGGAGTTGTGCAGGAGGCAACCGATCAATGATTCTCTCTTATCATTGATGTATCTATCTCTCTTTCCCTCTCCCTTCCTCTGAGATCAATGAAAAAAAAAAAAAAAAGAATGTAGAGAAGAAGGAGCCTGAGACGGAAAACAAAGGCTGAGTGAGGAGTAGAAAAGGAACTCCAAGTGAGACGGCAGGAAGAAAAAAGAGGGGCTGTGTGATCTGACAGAAGGTGATGATGGCGTAGGAAGAAGTCAGTATGGAGGTGGAGGCCAAGGCCTAGATGGTCAAGCACCACCCCTCAGGTGTCCCCCCCCACCCCCCACCCTGGAACCCAGCTCTTACCTGCCCCATCTCCTCTGGAGCAACCAACTCCATCCTCAGTCGCAGGGCTCCATCCTTAGTCCGGGACAGTGGAGGAGTTCCAGCTGTGGAGCCCCTGGCCTCCACTTCCACCCTCAGCGAGGACAGGGGCGTGGCAGCCCGGGATGTGCCCACGCTATCTCCAGCCCCAGGCTCTGGGGGGCGCTGCTGGGGTGGGGAAGCTGACAAAGGGGGTGTTTCCACCTTGGCCTTGCCAGGCACTGCCAGCTGGCCCAGCCCCCCAGTGAAGGAGCGGGCCTGAAGTCCAGGGGAGCTGGGAGGAGGGAGAAGCCAGGAGGTTGGACCCTGAGACAGGCCTGGCTGTGGGATAGGGGCACCCAGGCCCAAGCTGGCCAGCTCCAACCTGGAATCCAAAGATCTGCCCCCAGTACCCCCTGAGGCCCCACGAATCCCCTCCAGGACCCGGCCAAAGCCAGGGGGCTCCAGGTCTCTCTCGTAAACATCCACACACGTCCAGCGGCCACGGCGATAAGGCTCTCCCAGGCCCTGTGGCAGCTTCACCACCCGGAAACGGGAGGCAGGGGCCCCGGGCGGTGGGGAGCCATTCCGGGGGGTGCTCTTGCCCCCTGGCTCTGGGTTGGGCTCCCCGTTGGGCAGGCGGGGTGGGGGCCCGGTAGGGCCTGGCAGGGCAGGGGAGTCTGGACCTCCAGGGCTCCCGGGGCCCTCATAGTCCGTGGTCACGCTGGTGATTTGGAAACTACTCTTCTTCTTGCCCCCACTCATGGTCCCGGGGGCTCAGGATGGGGCCAAAGTGGGCGGGGGGCGGGGCGGTAGTGGCTCTTCGAAGGGGCTCAGGCACCCCTAGAACAGGGGAGCCACATGGCGGGGACATCGGGGCCCCTGGGGACGTCTGGGTCCGACATGGTGGGAGGGCCCGGCAGGAACTGGGGGTGCCTGGCTGGTGAGGGGAGAACAGGGGAGGGGAGGCGGCGAGCAGGGGGGGCAGGGGCAGGTTTTTCCTGCTGCTGTCGCTGCCGAACTCCAGAGCTGAGTTTGCAAACTGGAAAAAGAGTGAGAGAGTGTGTGTGTGAGAAAGCAGTGGGCAGGCCACCTCCGGGTCTTCCTCTCTGGGGAGCAGGATGGGGGAGGAAGGGGAAACCACCAGAGACAAAGAGACAGACCGAGATGACAGAGACCGGAGGAGAGAGCAGTCAGCGCGGGCGCGCGGAGCAGGAAGAGGCAGCCCAGACCCAAAGTTGGGCATTTCTCGGCGGGGATTCCAACTCACGGGACTCTAATGCGTCCCGGGAGCACAGGGCTCCGGGGCTGGGTGACCGGGGGATAGGCAGCTCCTCGGCCTGGCAGGTCCTCAAGGCCCCCCGCACCCCAGCTCCCCCATTCCTGGGGCAGGCCCGGCCCGCCGCCCCAACGCCCCGCCCCGCCCCGCGCCTTACCTCTCGGCCTCGGCCAACAAGCTGGGCCGGGGGTCCGGCCGCCTAAGATGTCGGGCTGTCGTTCCCCGGGGCCTCTGGGCCCCAGCAGCGCGGGGGGCGCCGGCGGCGCTTAGAGACGGCCCAGTCCGCTTCGGGGGCCGCACCTCGCCCCGCAAGGCATCTCCGTGGAAAGTTTGCGCTCCGGAAAGAGAAGGAACCCCCGCCTCCTTGGTGGAGCCCAGGCGCGGCCTCGGAAGCCCCAAGCGTCTCGGGGCCGATGCGGGCGGGGCGGCTCACCCCCTGGTCCTGCAGGTGGAGCCACTTCGGTGGTCGGGGCGAGCGGGTCTCTCTAGTCGCCTCCCGCGTGGCACCAATGGGTCCCTTCGCCGCTCGGCTCCTTTTGGTTCGGTCTCACTGTCTCCCTCTTTCTGGGCTGTTGACAACCCCCACACCAGGAAGTCCTGCCTCCTCGGGCCTGCTGACTGCTCCTCTCCTCCTCCTCCTTCTTCCCCTCTTCCTCCCCTTCCTCCGCCCTCTCTCCCTCCTGGGGCTCCGGGCCAGCTGGCGCGGAGCCAGGCCTGCCACCGCCGCCGCTGGTGCAGCCGCACTTGCCGCTGCCGCTGCCGCTGCCGCTCCTGCTCCTGGGGCCCCGGCCCAACTCCCTTAACCCCACACCTGCTGGGCCCAAGCGCAGCCTTTCCTCGTTGGGAGAGGCTGTGGAGGGCGGGGAGAAAGGGGAGGAGCCTGCAGAGCGGCCAGGGATTTCCTTACTTGTAGGCACTTGCTGCCTTTGGCCTGCAGGCACCGCGGAGCGGGGAGGAACCGATAGGAGCTCTGCGGGTACCTACCACCCCATGAACGCCCGATCGATGTTATGGTGCTGCCGAAGCTGTTATTGTCCTATCTTTGCTAGCTTTCACTGTCACTGTATGAGGAAGGTATTGTTATTCTCCCCTGTCCCTCCCTGTTTTGAAAAGTGGATTATGATGACAATTTTTTAAAATGCCCAAAGTAAAGGGAATGGTATAATGGACTCCCAGGTACCCCTCGTGCAGTTTCAACAATTATCAACTCACAGCCACTCTTGTTTCATCCACACCCCCTGTTGTTCTGTGTGGGATTATCTGAACCGAATCCTAGACATCATATTATTTCCCTCCTTAGATGTGGAAATGGAGACTCAGAAGGTTCAGAAAGGTTATCAGTGGGAGAGCAGAGGCATTCACACACTCAGGTGTGTCCTTGTCTGTCCCCCATATAGAAAAACATCATACATGTACACACAACCACCTACACCGGTGCACCCGAGGATGAACTGCTGGTCCCAAGCACGGGTTCCTCTCCCACCTCTCACATGTCCCATTTCTCCCACCCCTCGCTCCAGGTGGAGCCACTTCAGTGGTCGGAGCAATGGGTCTGCCAAGTCTCCTCCGCTATGGGGAATCCACACACACTCATCAAGGGCCAACCATATGGTTGGTGTGAAAGGATAAACCTCCAACTGCCATTGTCTCTTTTTTGGCACCCCAACCAACATTCTAAGAGGAATTATTTTAGCAAAAGCCACCTCTGCCTTCATTCCTAGGTGCAGAAAGAAATGAATTCGAATTAATTTTGATCAAACGAAACTGTTCCCGAGTATATTAAAAATCCCTCATATTTGTTCACTTCACATAAATTATCTGGTAGATTCTCAAACAGACCTGGGCAGAGACGGGATGGGTTTTGAGTTCCAATGTTTCTGCTAAGGAAACTGAGGCTCAGAGGCATTCAGTTATTTGCCCAAGGCCTCAGCTAGTACGAGACTAGCACTGGGCTGTCTGACATCCCTTCTTCCTCAGCTTTAGCTCCTGGAAATTTTTAACCAATATTTAGGATTAGGAATAATTAAATGATGCAAAGCCCCTTGGGCCCCCGTGCTTATATATTTATCATTTATCTCTTTGTTAAAATGCATCTGCACTCCTGCCTCTCTCCCTTCGTGGTAACAATGGCTACCATAGCCAGGTTCTGAGGCCTCCCAAATATGAAGTCCAAGAGGCAGCCCCCCTCCCCCCCCCAAAAAAAAACCTCTCTCCCTCTGGCAATATTCAGAACATATTCCTGTTGCTCCACCCCCAGATTCTTCTTCTTTCAGCTCTGACTAGTTACAGACTATTCAAAACCCATCTTTAGACCCTCCCCTTCCCATGGTTAAGACCCTCCCTATCATCTTGGACTTCTCTGAGTCTACAGTCCCAGGGAGGGTATTGGTCTCTACAGAAATGTTTATTGAACCAATCAATAAAAACTCATTCACACTAAGGTGTAAAAGAAAAAAAAACCTGTTGTTTTAATGTATTACCTCTCTTGGGGGTCATTTATAACAGCCCTTTAATGTATGGGGCCCTTTACTCTTGTATCCATTACTGCCCCCAATATTATTGAGGTAGGTATGAGATGAGGCAACTGTGAGAGGTTGCGCTATTTGCCCAAAGCCACACAGCACATCTTGAGAGACTGCCATATAAAGTAACATTCACAGCTTCCAGGGATTAGGGCGTGGGTATCTTTTGGAGGTCCATTTTTCAGCCGGTTAAGGGTAGAACTGAGGTTTTCTTGCAGCTAACCTGCACCAAAGGTAATTCCGAAGGAGGAATTTCTCATGGAGCTGATAAGAAAAGTGATGGAGGAAGGGGGCGAGGTCTCAGCCCCGAGCGACCATCCGGCCTTGGCCAAGGTGGCTGCAGTCAGACCTATCCAGAGCGCCCGGGTCCGAGCGGGCTCCGCCCGCGGAGTCAAAGGTTGCAGGGAGGATGACTTGGGCTGCGGGGGCGGACTGGCCCAGACTGAGCCCAGAAAGTGAGAGAAAGCCCAGGCGCCTGAGAGGCTGGAGGGATAGAGGACCAGCACCCAGCGAGCCAGCACTGTGCCCTCCGGCACCTGGGGGGGCGGCGGGAAGCTGGCGTCCAGCCAGTGGCGCACGCCCCCTGCTGGGCAGAGACAAGGAAGGTCCCGCTCCGGTCTCTGCGCCCCTCGGCCCAGAAAGAGGCCCCCCCTGCCGGCCTCGCCGCCTCACTGCACTCCGGGCTCCGCAGCCGCAGACTCAACCCTGCCGGTCGCGGGGTGCGCAGCCGGGGAGCCCCTGGCGCACAAGGGACTCGCGCGGTGCAAGCCTCGGGCTGCCGCTGGGGGGCACCGCTGCGCGCTGCGCCTGGCTTCGCTCCGCGGGGACCTTGGCCACCGAACGGAGCACGGCCCGGCCGGGCACCGGGCGAGAGGCGGCGAGGAGCGGACGCCCCAAAGCGGGGGCTGGCTGGCGCCGGGTTCCCAGCGCCCCACGACCTTTCTCCGAGTCCCCCACGAGGACTCCGTGGCCCCGTAGCTCCCACCCCAGCCAGGCGGCCGCTCCCCTCCGTCCTTGGAGAGTGGTGGAAGGGTGGGTTTGGGGCCGGGGGCGGGTCTGGGGGCGGACCCGGAGGCGGGGCTGTCTCTGCGGCAGGACCCAGCTCGGCTTCCCCCAGTCTCTCTCTTGTCTCTCCTCCTCCCTCCTCCTGCTCCGGGCGGAGCCCGGCATGGGGGGGCCGGCGTCCGGCAGGCCAGGTACGGTTATGTAGAAATTGGGGAGGCTTGGTGCGGGGAGGTGGAATGGGGGGGATCAGGGGCAGGGAGGATTGGCGGACTGAAAGACGGAGAAACCCAGGATAGCCGGACAAGGGGAAGGGGAGGGGTGCCCGTGAACCTGGGGCCCTTTGGATGGAGAGGGGGATGAAGCCGGCCAGGTTTGCCATCGACAAGGAAGGGAGAGGACGGCAGTGAGGAGGGGCGCCTGGGAGGAGAGGTGAGGCTGAGGCGCAGGAGAGTGTGTTTGGGGGAAGCGAAACCAGGCAGGTATGGAGGCCGCAGCTCTAAAGGTAGCTACGGGGCCAGACTGGAGATACCAGGGTGGGATTGAGGGGCGGGGAATGGAAGAAGGTAGCCGGAGCCTCCCAAATCCTGGAGGAGGAGGAAGGTGATTTGAGCTATCAGCGAGGGAAGCGGAGACGATCGCTGAGGAGCCAGGGCGCAGGATGAGGGGTGGACGGAGGCCCGGGCCCAGGCGAAGAACTGGAAGGGGGAAGGCAGGGGATGGAGATATTTGGATGGTAGTATTGTTAATACCCAACTCAGAGTGCCCCTACCCTTTCTCCAGCATCCCAGCCCTGCCCTCCTGACACCCCCCAGCCTCAGGGCCCAAGATGGGGTGGGGAATCTGACTACCTCCCCCTTCCCCAGTGGGGTGCAATGTTTGCAAGTAGGCCCAGGCATAACTCCTTGTCTGTAGGTATGTCCAGTTCTGTGCAGCCTATTTGTGTGTGTCTGTCTAGAGGTCTGTGTGAGCTGTGGGTGTGTCAAGTGTTTATGTCTGTGTGTCTGACTGTTCCTCGGTTGTGTTTACCTACGCTGATCTATGTGTCTGGTCCTCTGTTTGTAGATAAGGGTCTATGGCCCCTTGGTTTGTGTGTCTGAATGTGTGTTTGTGGGGCCTGTTTGGTGGATCAGGATGTATTTACAGGATGAGCATCTCTGTTGGTCTGATTTCTCCAAAGTGTGTATTTGTGGCTCTGAGCACCTTTGTCAGGATGTGTGACTCTGTACAAATGTCCATCTATGTCTGTCTATCTGTCTGTGGGTCCTTAGAGGTGGTGTTGGGTTTGTGTGCCTCTGTTTTCTCTCTAAGGACCCGAGTCATGTCTCTGTTCCTTTCTCTCTCTCTCTCTCTCTCTCTCTCTCTCTCTCTCTCTCTGATTCCTGCTCCCCCCACCCCACCTTTCTTTTTTTTCTTCTTCCCATCCCCCCACCAAGTGGATCCGGGACCCAGGGAGGGCCGTCCTCCGGGCCTGGTGGCTCTAAGCAGGGCCCCCCAGCCCCCACCTCCTACTTCACGACATGAACCTTCTCTACCGAAACAACCAAGCTGGAGTGGAGGCAGCACAAGGAGGAGGAGGCCAACAGGAGGTAAGGCTGTGTCCTGGAATGCCCCCTTACCTGCCTCCTTCCGCCTCCCCCTAGCTGGGTCACATCCCTTCTGATCTCAGAATCCGTACAGAATTGCTGGAATGGCACACACCCTGTCCCCACCCTGCTCCTGCCTCCAGACTCTGTCCTGCCCTTTTGGGGGGCTTCCAGCTAAGGAGCACCCTGTTGGCTCTTCTCCATTCCCAGAGGCCCAAGTCACTCCTTCCTAACTCACCTCTGGCCTGTGGTCTTCTCTCTCAATTTGGGGCTGGCTCCTGGCTCCCCTGTCACCTGACCTTGGAAGGGGCAGGCCATGCTGCCCTCACAGTCCAGGGATGGGGTCATTTGTGGGGCACCAGAGAAGATCCATTTGGCCCCCTCTCAGCCTCTGCTGGGGGAGGTGAGTGGCCAAGTGGTAGGGTTGTGTGTGTGTGGTGAGGGACATGTAGGCCTTACAGAAGACCCAGAGCTTGCCCTCTCCCCTTGCCCTCCCAGGGACCTGGGGTCTGGCCTCTTCTGTCTTGCTCCCTTCTCATCTTCATTCCCATTGACTGCACAGCCTCTTGGAGCCTGAGTCAGAGCCATTTCCCTGCTCCCTTCTCCCTCCTCGAAACTAGAGTTTAATTCTTGTTAATTAGATTAATCAGAGCTATCATTGCAGTGATCTCTTCCTAATGAAGGGTTAGTAGACAGGGCCTTAATGAAAGCCCACCCCACAGTTCTCCCCCTCTTGCCTGCCAGCCATCCCCTAACCTTCACTCATCCAGAAGCTCAGAGGACAGTGAAAGGGAACGGGGGTGAGCCTGGGAGGGTGACAGAGAGAGGACAGCACTGAGGAGAGACACAGACAGAGAGAGATCAGATCAGCCGGGGGAGGCTGCTCTAGCGATGTGGTGGTACAGCCCCGAGTCTGGGAGAGGAGGTGCGGTGTGGTGTGGAGCATAGGCCACTGAGGCTGGACGTGGGGAAGGCCAGAGGCCAGGTGTGAGCAGGAGTGAAAAGGAGCAGAACTGTGGTGGCAGGTGTGAGCTAGATGGGGTTGTGCTGCCTGGGTGTGCCATCTCTCTGCCTATGTATGAAATCGTCCACATGTGTGCTGTGTGCTGGATATGCCTAGGCTGAGATCGGCCAGCACTAGGCTGCTCCCCTGCACACATACTTACCTCTCCTCTCATCCCATTTTTAAAGCCCAGGGATTCTGCCTGAAGCTTCTACTTCAGTGCCCTGGACCTTCAGGCCTCCCCCCATCCCCACCCCAGTCCCTCTTCTTTCTCCCTGGGAGGCCACAGGGTTGCAACCGACCTCTGCTCCATCTTGGCCTTCTCTCCCCAGCTCCAGTAAGGAGGTGGCTCCTGCAGGCTCGGTAGGGCCCGGGGCTGGCCCAGGGCCCGGGGTCCGTGTGCGGGACATCGCCTCTCTGCGCCGCTCCCTCAGGATGGGCTTCATGACTATGCCCGCCTCCCAGGAGCACACCCCCCACCCCTGCCGCAGCGCCATGGCCCCTCGATCCCTCTCCTGCCACTCGGTGGGCAGCATGGACAGTGTGGGGGGTGGTCCTGGGGGAGGAGGTGGGGGTCTCACTGAGGACAGCAGCACACGAAGACCCCCGGCCAAGCCCCGGAGACACCCCAGCACCAAGCTCAGCATGGCAGGGTCCGGGGCAGAGACGCCCCCTAGCAAGAAGGCAGGTGAGATACCCCCAACCCTCCCCAGGGGAAGCACGGAGTGGGGAATTGGAAGGTCCATTCCAGGCCAGGGGAGGCCTGCTGGGAGGGTTCATTCAGGGAAGAACCAAGGAAGTGGAAGATTTCGTTCTCAGAGGGGCTGGGGGTGGTTCCTCTTTGGAAGGGTTTGAGATGGATTATTCAAGGACAGGGGAGATTTCCTGAAAAGTTCAATCTTGGGGAAGGAGTGACATGTCCTTGGAGGTACAGGAGGGTGGGAGAGAACTGAGGGTGGGAGCTTCAGATTCTGAGGAGTTCATTAGAAGGACTGCGGGCTGACTGGTAAGATGGGAACACCCTGGAGCTGTAAGTTGAGAAATGTGGGCAAAACGAAGAGGCAGCTATGTCCTTGCAGGTGGGTCAAGGGGTCAGAAAGGGTCTCCCCTATTCCCGTCCGCAAACAAGAGCACCGTTTATTTTTCTCTTTCCCGTTTTCCCCAGGCTCCCAGAAGCCAGCCCCAGAGGGCCGAGAGTCTAGCCGGAAGGTTCCTCCACAGAAGCCCAGGCGAAGCCCCAACACCCAGCTCTCTGTCTCCTTCGATGAGTCCTGCCCCCCAGCTCCCTCTCCCCGAGGGGGAAACTTGCCCCTTCAGCGCCTCAGTAGAGGGTCCTGCATCGCTGGGGACCCTGAGGTGGGTTCCCAAGAAGAGGAGCCAGTGTACATTGAGATGGTGGGGGACGTCTTCAGGGGAGGAGGGAGATGTGGAGGGGGCCTGACTGGGCCCCCTCTTGGGGGTGGGGGTCCGACCCCTCCAGCTGGCGCTGACTCAGACTCGGAAGAGAGTGAGGCCATATACGAGGAGATGAAATATCCGCTGCTCGAGGAGGCAGGGGAAGGCCGGGCCAATGGGCCCCCTTCGCTGACCATCGCCTCCTCGCAACACCAGCCTCATGCCCTCCAGCCCCACACCCACCATCGTCCAGCCTCCGCCCTCCCAAGCCGGAGGGACGGGACCCCCACCAAGACCACTCCTTGTGAAATCCCCCCGCCCTTCCCTAACCTCCTTCAGCATCGCCCTCCACTTCTGGCCTTCCCCCAAGCCAAGCCCGCTTCCCGAACCCCTGGCGATGGGGTCTCAAGGCTACCAGTCCTCTGCCACTCCAAGGAGCCAGTGGGCTCTACCCCAGCTCCCCAAGTGCCTGCCCGAGAGCGGGAGACGCCTCCCCTACCACCGCCGCCTCCTGCTGCCAACTTGCTGCTGCTGGGACCCTCGGGCCGGGCCCGGAGCCACTCAACACCGCTGCCACCCCAGGGCTCTGGCCAGCCCCGGGGAGAGCGGGAGCTCCCCAACTCCCACAGCATGATCTGCCCCAAGGCGGCAGGGGCGCCGGCAGCCCCTCCTGCCCCAGCCACCTTGCTCCCTGGCCCCCCCAAGGACAAGGCCGTGTCTTACACCATGGTGTACTCAGCAGTCAAGGTGACCACCCACTCCGTCCTGCCAGCTGGGCCTCCCTTGGGTGCTGGGGAGCCCAAGACAGAGAAGGAGATCTCGGTCCTCCATGGGATGCTGTGCACCAGCTCGAGGCCCCCCTTACCTGGGAAGTCCAGCCCCCACAGCGGAGCCATGGGCACAGCAGCTGGGGTTCTCCATCACCGAGGCTGCCTGGCCTCCCCACACAGCCTTCCGGACCCAACTGCAGGCCCCCTAACCCCCCTCTGGACCTACCCAGCCTCCGCAGCTGGGCTTAAGAGACCCCCTGCCTATGAAAGCCTCAAGGCTGGGGGGGTGCTGAATAAGGGCTGTGGAATGGGGGGCCCATCCCCCCCTGGTCAAGATCCAGCTGCAAGAGCAAGGGACTGATGGGGGTGCCTTTGCCAGTATTTCCTGTGCCCACGTCATCGCCAGTGCAGGGACACCAGAAGAAGAGGAGATGGGCGCAGCGGCATTTGGGGCAGGCTGGGCTCTGCAGCGGAAGGTCCTGTATGGAGGAAGGAAGGCAAAAGAACTGGACAGTGAGTGAAAGGAAGGTGGGGAGGGGTGGGGAGGGGTGCGGATGTCCATGGTGATTTAGGGGAGGCCTTGGAGGAGTTATTTGGAAGCCATGGCCCATTGTCCTGAACTGGGAAGAGTTCTGGGACACCAGAGGGCTGGGGGTATGCAGTGGACTAAAGGGACGGGGTTCCCAAGTGTGTGCTGAAGGGGCAGTAAGATCTGGGTTGGTCAGGAGAATCTGGCCCCCAGAGCAGCCTCTCCTCCTGCCCCATCCTGCTGTACTCTCTGCTCCTCCCTTTGCTGGGCTGCAGGGGTGTGTGCGAGTGTGCGCACACTTGAAGCTAAACACAGCTGCCTCCCAGCTGTTACCATGGCAACTTGTCCAGACTGGAGGAAGAGGAGAGGGAGGCCCCTACTGTTGCCTGGCAACGCAATGCTCTGCCAGGCCTACTCTCAGAGATGAGCTTAGCTCACAGTCAGCCCTTCCTCCAACAATTTCCCCCCAACATACACACGCACACTTCCTGGCTCAGGATATGGGATTCTTCCCCTCCTGGAGATAGGCCCCTGTTCTGTTTGGGTAGGTAGTCATTACAGCCCTATCTGGGGCGGTAGGGGCTTGGAAGCTAAAGCTGGGATAGGGTTAGGTCCCTCTGCCAGGAGTCATACCAATGATTGCAATGAAGGTAGCAATACTCGGGTTCCTCCTGTGTGTGAATGTGCCGGGGGAGTGTGACGTAGCCCCCTCCCTTCCCAGCTGTGACCTGCAAAGGGGCAGCTACTAGTGATCCACCCGCGCTGCAGTGTGTGGAGCTGGGGGGACAACCAGACCCCTCCCACATACAGGCACTGAGCTCTCCTTGTCATCCCAGCAGAGGCTGAGGAGAGTGCCCGGGCCTGGAACGGCAGCACCGAGGGTCCAGCCAAGGCGGAGCGCGAGGACAGGGGTCCTGTGGCATCAGGGATCCCAGTGAGGAGCCAGGGGGCAGAGGGCCTGCTGGCCAGGATCCACCACGGAGGAGACCGAGGAGGGAGTCGCACGGCGCTGCCCACACCCTGCCAGACCTTCCCGGCCTGCCACCGAAACGGAGGTGACACCCGGCCCTCCCACCCCCCTGTACACAGAGCGGGTGGGCTGGGGGGAATCTCCCAGGGCCCGTGTCCTGGAGCCTACACCCTAATACCTCCTCTGCATCCCCTTCCCGCTGATGAGGCAGGGGGCCGCCTGGAAGGGGCTGTCCTCGGGGAAACTAGGGGAGCCCTGAAGGCCCCTTCCCTCACTTCCTCCTCAGACTTCACCGGAGGCTACCGCCTGGGGCGCTCTGCCTCCACCTCGGGAGTCCGGCAGGCCGTGTTCCACACCCCCAGACCCTGCAGTCAGCCCCGGGATGTTCCCAGCCAGGTGAGGAAGATGAGGTTGGGTTATATTTGTGAAGGGACAGATAGAGAAGAAGGCCAGGATGTGGGACGAAAGGCATGAAGTCAGCCTGGGCCCTGGCACAGACTAATAGGGTCCAGGCAGAGGCTGGGGTGGGGGTGGGGGTGGGGGGAGTTGGGGGAGGATCCTGGAAAGGGGCTGCTTATGATGGGCAAGCCAGGCAGGGCCGCCACTGGTGGACAGTGTACCTTTGTGCACCCGCTCTGGGGGGGCCACTGGAAAAGTGCACCCGACGAGGAAGGCAGCTTTTCAAAGGTGCCCCAGCCTGGCCGCAGGGCTCACCGCTGGGCAAAGGGTGGTGCCAGCGCTGGGTTTCTGCTCCCATCGGTGCCCCCGCCGGGGGGAGAGGATCGGGTGAGGAGGAGACTTGTTGCTGGGAGAAGGCACTGGTCTCCGCCGGGGGGACGGGGCACGGCCATTCTGAGGTCCCCCTTCTCCCTTTCTCCCCACGTCGGGGCGGCGGCGGGAGGAAGGAGCACAGACCCACCCTGCACTGCCGCTGCCTCTGCCCCTGCCGCCCCAGCCGGCCCGCGAGCGCGACGGCAAGCTGCTGGAGGTGATCGAGCGCAAACGCTGCGTGTGCAAGGAGATCAAGGCGCGCCACCGGCCCGACCGGGGCCTCTGCAAGCAGGAGAGCATGCCCATCCTCCCCAGCTGGCGGCGGGGGCCCGAGCCCCGAAAGTCCGGCACCCCGCCCTGCCGCCGGCAGCACACCGTCCTCTGGGACACTGCCATCTGAGGAGGGCGGGAGCCGGGGCAGCAGGACTGGGGAGCAGGGCAGGGCTCTCCGAGAGACTTGCCTTGAATGAGGGACCCTGGAAGGACCAGGTGAGAGAGAGCCACCCCGGCCCTTCATCCCAACCCCTGGAGGCGGGGAGTCTGCCAGGCCCAGCGGGCTGGGGGCACTAGCAGTACCCACAGACATTTGGGGGAGGCGGAGGGTTTGCTTGAAGTTGGGAGTGAGGCTCTCGCTGCTCTTCCCACTCAGCGTGGTAGACCCCTCCCGAGAGAGCAAAGGCCAAGCCAGAGGTCAGCATGGGGGTGGAGGGAAGGGTTAGGGAGGAAGGGGACGGGCCGATTGAAGGAGGGACTGGAGAGTGAGAGGTGAAGGAGCTCTTATAGAGTCGGGAATTGGGGAGGGCATATTTATTTTATTTATTTTAGTCTAGAGGGCAATTCTGCCACCCCCCCTCCCCCAAGCAGGGAGTGGGGAGTCGAGAGCAGTTAAAGGAAAGCACGTTTGCACTCTCCCCAACGCCTAAAGGCCCCACAATCCAGGCCTGCCCCAAAGCTAGGGGTTGGTCTGGAGGGCAGCAGACTCATTTACAGTATTTACAAGTCGCCAGAATTTGGTAGGGAGCTGGCCTGTTCTGAAACAGGCATCTTCTTTAGCTCTGGAGTGAGGGTCTGGCACCAGGGATGGGTGGGATGATGGGGAAGGAGGGAAATTTTTGTGGGTGGGGGGAGGGCAGGGTATTTATTTAAATTTTAAAAAATCAGAAGAGATGTCAGGAATTTTTTTTTTAATTCCTTTCTTGCAGAATAATATATTAAAAGACTAATGATCCTAGAACTGGCTTCTTAAATTTCAGTGTGCGCTGCCTTTCTTACATTTGTTTCCTTTTCCCTCTGACCCTTGGTTGGTGGGAGTTGAGGGTTGTGCAGGGAGGGTTGAGTGGCTGTAGTAACGGGGACAGGTGGAGTGTGAGGTAAGTTTTCAGTGACTCCACATATGTATGGAGCATCTGATGTGTGCTTGACAATGTGCCGATGCAGAAGGAATATTCAAACTAAAACCTGCCCTGGAGCAGTTGTGATCTACCCAGGGAGATGACCTACCTGAGCTGACACTAGCCAGTGCTCCAGGAGTAAGAGGGGGAGAGGGCTGGGATCAGCTGAGAACGCTTCTTGGAAACTGAGCCTATAAGGACAGGTAAGGTTTGGATGAGCAGAGGGAGGAAGGAAAGTCCCAAAGTCACAGTGATTGTAGAACAGTAGAAGATGGGGGGTACGGGCCAGGAAGTGTGTTTAAATTATACAGACGCAGCCCTGGCCTGGGCACAGGGGCGGGGGGGTGGCGGGGGCTCAGTTGTCTGAAGGGTCATCCCATACACCAAAAGGTTTCAGGTTCGATTCCTGGTCAGGGCATGTGCCTAGGTTGCAGGTCCCATTTCCTGTCTGGAGGAGTATGGGAGGCAACTGATCGATATTTCTCTCCCACAACGTTTCTCTCTCCCTTCCTCTCTCTGTAGAATCAATTAAAAAACAACAACAAACATATCCTCAGGTGAGGATTAATAAATAGATAAATAAACAATACAGAGGGCAATAGGGAGTCAGCCATGATGAAGCTGGTTGAGAAAGATGGGCTTCGAAGGACCATGCTGGTCTTGGGGAAGGAACCGTGACGAATCCCGGGAGGTGATGTATCACGGGGAGGAGGATGAAAACAATGTCGGAGAATGGAGGACAAGAGACAATGAATGGGGGTGGGAGGAGGGAGAGCATCTTCCAAGCCCAGTTTGGAGCTTCTGTGATTGGGGAACTGATCACCTTGACACAGCAAGGAAAGTGGGGTGGAAAGGACTTTGAGTGAAGATCAATGAATTTGAAGCAATAGTGAATATTCAGTTAAAAGGTTTGTGACCACCTAGAAAAGAGTTTCAAAAAATATGGATAATATGGATGTTTTTAAACAGTATGGAGGACATTTTTAAAAAAACTTTGTCTTGTGTTTATTTTCATTCATATTAAAGAAATTATAACCAGCACATCAGACTTCTAGTTATT